TTCTTCCTTCGAGCTTTCATCATATCATCTTTGATGTTCGAATTTCCTCTAACTTTCTCTTCTTTTGAGTTAGTTCAACCACTTGAGCATTTAGGCCCTCATTAAGCATCTCATGTTGGGCATTCACTTTTGGCGAACATCCTCCATTGTCTCATTAATCAATCGAGATGGGCCTTCGAATGGTGGTACAAGATATCCTTTCCCTCTAGCGCTTTGCCATTTTGGATATCCGGGTGAGGTCCTTCCATCCACTCTTCTTTCGGGGGTGACTATCCCTCTATTTCTCCAAGCAACCTTAGACTTTCTCTAACAAATTCTTAGAAACCCTCAAGTCTTCGTAAAACTCATTTAGACCGGTCGTTCGAGGATGAACTCGCTAGAACCCTAATTGTCTTAGAAACATATTTAGACAATAACCGATGCAAGACTAGAGCTCCAATTAATGGCACCCAAGCAAAGTTGCCACAAAAGGTCGTGTAGCTCCGGAAAAAAGCATATCGTGCTCTCCAATGAAATTCGACTTCTCTAAGCCGAAGAATAACTCGGCCCACATCGTCTTGCCCAACTCATTGAGGGCGTGACAAGCAAAATTTTCTAACTTTGAATGCGAGATGCCATGGGGTACGAAAAATGCCGGAGGCTTAACCGAGTTACTACATGGCTTACGAGTTCATACAAACAATAGCTGGACACAACACCTCAAATGTCCACCTCCTTTATTTCGACGAAGTTTAATGAGGAGAGTGTTTCGCAAGAATTGCTGCAGCAAGGTTAACCTTGAGAGACACCACACTCATAAACACATTGACGACCTCCACGTCGATCATGCCTTCGGTCGATGGCAACAAAACTAGCCCATATATTGCTAATGCCAAAATTTGAAGTCTAAATCGGTTATCAAGATCTTGCAAGTGCTTCATGAACTCTGCTTGGAGAATGTCCCAAAACCAACCTTGAGTTTTACCCCTCGTGGTTAGTCGATTCTTGGCCAACGTGGTATTGATTCCGATCAACCATGCAAAATTTGATGGACCATGATCGGGCGAACCGTAGAAGTAGACGGCTTTTGTTTCGGAAAATGCTAGCAGAGCCTCGTATTCCTCGAGTGTAGGTGACGAGTCTACACTTTCAAAAGTGAAACAACGATAATTCGGGTCCCAATGTTCTATCATAGCTTGGAAGCATGCGGTCCGAGCCTTGATTTTGATCGGATAAGCTATGTCCCCATATGCTTTTTGAAAATCAGATTTGTCTCTAGGAGTGAGCATTTCCCAACAACTAAGAAGTGGACTAGTGTTGACCATCTTGTCGGCCAATTTGACCACTTTACGGTAGCTTCGACACGAAATTCGAGGGCGGACAATCTCCTTCATCACTTTGGGCTCGCTTAGATCGACCCTAAAATCCTCAACCTCATTTTCGATTTCTTCGTCATGATTTAATATGAAGGATAACCTGCAAAACCAAGGGTTAGTATCGACATCATTTGATATTGATTCGTGTCTTAATTGGATCAACCCTAATAGACAAGATCTAGCTTTTCTATGATTGGGTACAAAGCTTGACTAGTCTTAAAAAATTTTCAAGTTTACGGATCGCCTAAATTACCGATGGAGTAATCAAGCCTTTAACCTTATACAACGGAGGTAGGGGAACTTTATTCCACCATTTCCAATGCATAGGGTGAGTTTCGGTCAAACGAGAGTCCGGAAGAGCATCGATAGACTTTCGTCATACTCGCCTCCAAATCCCTCTATCTAATTCCTATTAGGGTTGAGCTCGAGTCCGAGCTTTTATAGGTTTCCTTCGTGGTGTGTGCAACAATTTACGGAAAACTACACAACCCAGTTCAAACAAAACAAAACAAAACAAAATAAAATAAAATAAAATAAACGTGCAATACTAAAATAAATTACAAAAAATAAAATATGTACAAAAAATAAAATAAAATTCAGAAAATAAAAAAGACAAAAATAAACATAGGAGATAGATTAAAAAAAGCTAATCATATGGCCTAACTCTTGTCCCCGAGTGGAGTCGCCATTCCGTCGTTACCCGACGTCGGACGGGACTCCTAAAATTAAAATGCTAAATGTGATTAATATTTACAAGTTTATTTACGAGCTTTGGAGTCGCCACCTAGTATTAAGGAACTAGGAACCTAAAAATAACACTAGTCTAGAGATTCTATGGTAAGCGAGTTGGTTACACTTTTAGGAAGATAATTATTCACCCTAAAAGTGCCCTTTCCGAAGAAAGGTACCACATCTTGTTCTAGTCCTAAATTTATCTCCTACAATGTTCATTTATGCCAATTTATTTTCTAATTTTTAAACAATTATTTTAGCAAAATTTGATTTTTTAGTTTTGAGCGTGGCATCGTATTGAAGCGATCGTCGGTCCGCTTCATCGGGCGACACGTCGGTTCAAACATCGGATCCACTTACGGCCTTGACACAACCGGTGTGTCGGAGGTTGTCTTGATTAAAAGGTGATTTTTTTTGTGACATCAGCCCTATCGAATAGGAGGCTTCGCCAAAAAATTTTTTTTTGCATTTTTTGTGACGTCGGTCCTTATTAGGTAGGAGACTTCGTCAAAAATATATATATATAATTTTCTAGTAATACATATTAAAGAAAAGAAGAGAAAAAAAGAATTGAAATAAAAAATTCTAAATTAATAAAGAAAATTACAAGAAAATAAAATAAACGAGTAAATAATAATAATAATAATAATAATTTAAATGAAAAAAAATAAATAAATAAATAAATCATCCTATATAAGCGGGTAAAAAATAATAATAATAATAAATGACAAGAAAAGTAAAAAAAAAAAAAAATCCTATACCTAAAGTATTAATCTACCACTTTTACTCTTTTTTTTACCCATCCCCGTTTACTTTTTTTCTTCTTATTTTTTTTAACTCTTTTTTTCATTTCCCTTTTTTTTTATTTTTTTATTTTTTTTTTGGGCCTAAAGGGCTCGGGTTAGGTTGGATCGAGAATGGCCCAGCCTCTCTCTTTTTTTTTTGCGAGGGGCGCGTGGGCGAGGCTGGACCAAGAATGGCCCAACCATCATCAATTTGAGGGGGATATCGACGAGAGCGAGATCTTGCCGGCAAATTAAGGATTAACATTTGGTCAACCGAGCTAAAATCTTTTCTAAAATTCGGATTGCACATTACTTTTCCATGATTAGCTAGGTTCACCATGTATAGATACAAGTTTATATATATATATATATAGCTCAACGGATATGGATTGGAATTTCATTCTTTCTCTCAAATTATTAGGTGGAGGTGGTTATGAAAGAGTGGTGGTGAAATAATAAAAATATTGAAAAAAATATCAGCACAATCTGCTAATGGTGGTGGTAGCAATAGTGGTGGAAATGATAATAGTGATAGAAATAGTTGATATAAAATGAATAAAAATAAAAATCTTATTTTCATTCCTTATTTTTATTTCTAACCCTTATATGATAATGAAATCATGTTTAATTTTAAGTTAATAGTTGCGGACATTCCTCTACTCTTTCTTAGATATTTATCGTGTCTTTCTATTCTTTTTCATCTTAAGTTCATCTTTTAATGTTTGATTTGTATTTTAATTGTGTTTTTTTGTTAATTTTTTAGTTAAATGACGTTAAATCGCGAGTGCAAGCATCACAAGAATGCAACATTTGTTTTTTTTTTTATCTTAATTTCGTCCCTCTATTCTTTTTCTTTTTCTTTTTAACTAAATTTAAATGAATAAATTTTGAAAAAAGAAAAAGAAAAAAGAAAAGGTATTTATAGCAAGCATACTTTGAATATAAAATAAAATAATTATATTATTATTTTTTAAAATGCCGATAAGCTTTTGTTAAATCTTTAAATAGCATTTATAATTTTATAATACACGAAAAGAGTTTAGTTTAAATTTTATTTTTTATTTTTTCAGATATATCTCGTCATTCTATCTAAAAATTAAAATAAATATAAAAAAATGAAGATATTTTTTTATTATACAAAATATCATTTATGGATTTAAATTTATCTCTATGGTATTAAGAAAATTTTGAGTATAAAATAAAATATTATCGTATTTAGTTTTTATAAAAGTCAAGAGAGTTTTAGTTAAAGTTTTAAACTTTTAAATGATTTTTATAATCTTATAATACATGAGTTTATTATAATTTACTTATTTTTTATTTTTGACTAAAAAGTAGAAATATAAATTTTGTTAAGATTGTTTGGAAATATTCACTCAAAGTTGGTTAAAAGACAGAATATATCTTCATTTTTTTTTCCCAATATTTTTTTCAAAATTTTTTTATTTAAATTTGACAAAAGAAAAAGTAGAAAAATAGGATTAAGACCAAAAAAAAAAAAATTACTTTAATACATGCCACAATTTTATAGTACTAACAATGCTATTTAACTTCATTAGTCTAAAAAAATTAACAAAATAACACGATTAAGATAAAAACCAAATGTAAAAAACAAACTTAAGATGAAAAAAGTACATGATACAATAAAAACTAAAGAAAAAAAAATAGAGGAATTAAGCATTTAATTTTTATCTTATTTTTTTAACCAAACACCCATGAAATAAAAATAATACCTAACATTTTAGAGCCACTGGGACAAGAGACTCCATAAAATATCTGGAAGTATTGTGGTTAATAGAAATAATAATAATAATAATAAAAGAGTCTGGGGAATGGGTCCATTACCCAGACCCATAGCTTTAACTTCCAGATTGCGATCCTCTGCAACCGAAACGAGCAGAAGCTCATAAAAACGTTAAGTCTCAAAGACCAAGAAACCCAATCAGCAACGCCCTTCTAGTTTTATTTTATTATGGATACCATAACTGGATGTTGCCTATCTCTCAGACCTCACACTATTGTCATTGCTGACCATCATTACGCCAAGCTCTCTAATCTAAAACGCACCGTCTCATTAGTATCTTTCTACAAAAACCAAAACATTAACACCAAACCAACACCATCTTCAATGGCTGCAGCACGCCTTCAAGTCTCAGCATCCTCTGCCATTGGTATAATATGTTGGTGGGCTTTATTTGTTTTTACCGTTCTTTGTTGGTTTGTTTTGGTTTTTAATGTTTTCTTGATTTGGTTGTTGAAGGTGCAAGAGATGAAGAGTTGGGGACTGCAAGTTCTGGCCTTGTTGGAGAGAATGATTTGCTGATTGTTGGTCCTGGTGTTCTTGGTCGCTTGGTTGCTGAGAAATGGCGCCAGGTAATTATTATTATTTTGGTCTGACGGCTTTTATAATTTGGATTCTACAATTCGTGTCTGTTTTTCAGTCTCAAGTTGACTTTCAATGCTTGGCACTGTGTGAGAATTATGTAATTTTATTTATTTATTTATTTTTTTGGGTGTTTGTGCTGTATTTGAAAATCAGAAATTTATGGGGTTATTATAAATTAACCATAGCTATGATTTGGTCTGGCGGCTTTTATAATTTGGATTCTACAATTCTTGTCTGTTTTTCAGTCTCAAGTTCTGACTTTCAATGCTTGGGACTGTATGAGAATTGTGTACTTTTTTTTTTTTTGGGGGTGTTTATGTTGTATTTGAAAATCAGAAATTTATGGGGTTATTATGTTTTGAGTAGGAGCATCCCGGCTGTCAAGTTTATGGGCAGACAGTGACTACAGATCACCATGATGAATTGATCAAGATGGGGATCAATCCATCTTTGAAAGAGACTAAAGCAACACAGCAGTATCCTTATGTCATTTTCTGTGCCCCTCCTTCTCGAACCTCGGATTACCCTGGTGATGTAAGGTAATAAAGATGAGTGTCATTGTTGCTTATAGCATGCGTGCTTGATGTATTCGAGTATGTAGTTGTATTGTATATAAGCAAATATAACTTAGTGGCTGATTCCATAGATTTTATTTGTTCCGAATTTTAAAGTATTCCTGCGACTGTGAAATGATCGGTTACCTTTGCTATGATTGCATCCGCCTTGTTTGTTGGATTAAAGTCGAAGTTGCTTGGTTAAGTCAACCTGGGTAGTTTAAGATTGCTTTGTTTGAACAAAAGGGTATACAAAAGGATGGAGAATTGCAATTTGCACACATATGGAAGTAAACATTAAAATCTGTGATTGGCTACATGATGTTACTCTTTGTGATTATGCTATTTCTTTGGACCATCGACCAACAGAGAAGCTGCTTTGAGCTGGAATGGGGAGGGTTCTTTCTTGTTTACATCAAGCTCTGCACCATATGATTGTTTTGACAATGGGCAATGCGATGAGGTATGCATAAAATTGAAAATTATTGTCAGAACAACACGATTACCTTTTCTCCATATCTTGGCGCAAAAGTAGTTTCTTCCTTCTCTATTTTTATGAACAGGCTTGTCCTATGAATAAATGCTCAACTTGGTTCAGTGATAAGTCTAATGAATTGCTGTTTTGCCTTATCTAGCCCTTGGCTGTGGAGACAGTTAAACTTGTAAAATATGCTACATTTGCTTTAGAGTCACAATAATATTCTATGCAGGACTCACCGATAGTGCCAATCGGAAGAAACCCCAGAACAGATGTCCTTCTAAAAGCAGAAAAAGTAGTGCTGGAAAGTGGTGGTTGTGTTGTTAGATTGGCAGGACTTTATATATCCTTTCTTAGTTCTTAATCGTGTGGATTTCATGAACAGTTGAAATGGAAACTTTAGACATTTGTGGTGGATAGTGGCTTTTTATTCACTTAACCTTAACTGGCTACACAAAGCAGATAGAGGTGCGCATGTTTACTGGTTGGGGAAGGGGACTGTTGAAGTTCGCCCAGATCACATCCTGAATCTTATTCACTATGAGGTTGAACACTTTGTTCTTCTGAATTTATGATTAACATGTTTTATAGTTATGCACATAATCCTCTTCCACTGTAGTTATTTTTTGTCCGATTTGAGTCATTTGCTTCCTAGATCATGTGTTTTTATTGATTCACAGGATTTTCATTTCTTGGTAGATTGCATGCTTTAGATGGTACTTCTTATTGTCGGTAGCTTTCTTACATTCTCACATTGCTGAGCATGTCTTTTGCACTATTATTAGTAGTAGTGATGTAAAACAATGAAGTTGATTTGGTGTTTGTTAATTTATTTGCTTGTGTGTTACTTTAATAGGATGCTGCTGCCCTCTCAGTTGCAATCTTGAAGAAGAAACTTCGCAGCCGGATTTTCTTGGGTTGTGACAATCATCCGTTGTCAAGGTATATTGTCGTTGATGATAACGTGTCTTAAGATTTCAAAGAGTTAATGAATTTCTCATACTTCTGTAAATCTCTCTGCAGGCAAAAAGTTATGGACTTGGTCGCTAAAAGTGGGAAATTCAACAAAAAGTTTGAGGCCTTTACAGGTTTGCTCCTTATGATGAATAATGAATTAAAGAACTGTTATGACTTCTCTTCCTCTTTTCTCCTTGTTTGAGAGAGGAGCCTTTTGTTGTTAATCAAGTAATTGCAATTTGCTCGTCACATGTCTTGTTAATGCAGGAACAAGTGATCCTTTAGGCAAGAGATTAAACAACTCTAAGACTCGCGAGGAGATAGGCTGGGAGCCAAAATACCCTAGTTTTGCTCATTTTCTTGGTGTCTCAGAATAGATACTATGCCGATCAGCAGTATTGTGATGGAATATAGCTGACACGGAAGTGCTAGATTGTGACACAAAGAATGCTTGATTCTGGGGCAACTCATTTATCTTGCCTTTGTTTTTTTTTTTTTTTTTACAGTACAGTGTCAATTTGTATAGGATTGGCCAAGTGACCTATGAAAGCCGCACTTTGGCACATACTTTACTATGGTCAGAACTAATTGGAGTGGAAGCGTGAATGAGATAATTAGCTTATTTGGATGCTTTAGCATTTGACTTCTGCCTCACATTTGATGACAACAAACCAGGAGCTATATGTTGAAAAAAAGAAGAAGATATTATCCAAAAAAATTAAAATAACTCTATATCAAAATTTTTAGGTAATTTTCTTCGGGCATAATCAAATTATTTTCTTAAGACGATACGCATCATTTATAGAAATTTCTGATATAACAAATCAAGTGTATATTATAAATCTTTTTAAAAATACAATAACTTCAGTCATTTTATCATGTTTAACAAATTTACATTATTTATGAAACTTGAAATTTTAAAATAAATAATATGATTTTTTACTCAAAGAAAAAGCAAATAAAATTATATGGTTTTCTAGTAGGAGTATACAGAAAAAGAAGAAGTAAAAAAAAAAAAAAATTGTTGTTAAAAAAAAAAAAGCTTTTTCAAGTGCTGCTGTACCTATCTACATTTTGTCAGGAGAACCACGCTCTTATAGCCATGGTTTAGCACACAACTTAACGATTTTTTTTTTTTTCCGCATGGGTAACAACTGCTAGTTACAAACCACATCCAACATTTGTCCATTAAAACGCATGTAACCAACTTGCTTTATTACTGGAAGAGGGTAGAGCTATCAACTCTGCCTCCATTATAGATTTAACAATAATCGACTATTTTTTCAGTTTCCAACATATTTTTATTCCACCTAAAATGAAAAAATAGTCGATGGTATACAATAAATCATCTAATAAGGTGTTCCAATCATCATCATTATACCTTCTAAGTATAGTGAAATATTTTTGACATAATGCATAGTGCATAGTGCATAGTTTTTTAAGTATCTCATTAAACGAGTTATAGCATTCTAATATTGATCATTGAGTCTCCAAGTAAACCTTATTGGTACTCCTACAATAAAGACAATATCAAGTCTTATACAATTCGTAGCATATCTAAGACTTCTAATGATATATATATATATATCATTTTAAAAACAAAGATGCGCAGTAGTATCAAAAGAAGTTCCCACAAGTTTTTTTTATGTAAAAAATCATATATTTTCAAAATCTTTTCAATATAATAAAATTGATCAATAAATATAAAATTAGTTATTCTAGTAACTCTCATGCCAAAAACCATATTTGCTTCACCTAAATTCTTCGGGTGAAATTTATTTTGAAGCAATAATTTAGTATTACTAATAATATTTATGTTTGAACAAAAAATTAAAAGATAATATACATACAAACATATAATCACATGAAAATCATTAAAAGATTTTTAAATATATGCATTTGTCACTTTCATTAGATTTGAAACCATTATTAAGGAAAAAAAAAGCAACAAATTTTTTATGCTATTGTTTAGCTGCGTATTTCAAACCATCTAAAGATTTTGGTAACTTACACATCTTGTTTTTATTTTCTTGCATTACAAAACCTTTGGATTTATTCATGTATATTTCGTTTTCTATATCTCCATTTAGAAAAACTATTTTTATTCCATCTAGTATATAAATAGATTGTGAATAACTGCAATAACAATAAGTAATTTAATAAATGTTACCTTAGTCACTAAAAAAAGTATCAAAGAAATCAATATCTTTTTTTACTTAAAATCTTTAGCTACTAATCTAGCTTTTAACTTGTCTCCGGATTGATCAGAATTCAATTTAATTCTAAACACCTATTTCCTCTAATTGTTTTGCAACCAAGTGGTAATTCAATTATTTTCTAAGTATTATTTGAAAGAAGAGAATATATTTATCATCAAAAGTTTGCATCATGAAAAGATAAAAGTTTATTCTAAAAAAAAAGTAGGATTATCTTGTAAATTAAATAAATAATAATCAAAACCAACAAAATTTTCAACTCTAACCTTTTTGCTCCTTTTTTCAAAATTATTTATATTTTCAAATCTCGAAAAAGATGGTTCGAGTACTTCGTTGAAAATTTGCACCCCACTATTTTCTATTTTAAAATAAAATCTATTTTCATAAAAAAAAATGACGTCCAAAAATTCCATAATATTATTATTATCAAGATAAAAAAATCTATCGGTTTTACTATTCTAAGCATAACTCTGAAAAGTAAAGGTAGACTTTTTTTTTAAACCAAATTTCAGTCTTTTAGGATCAAGTAATTTGACAAACACTAAATATCCCCTAACTCTTAAAAGCTAATTTTGATTTATAACTTTTTTCACAATTCATAACGAGTTAAAAGAGTGATTTTATATGAAATTCTATTCAAAATAAAATTTACAAACAAAACAGCTTTACTCTATAAATTATTTGGAGCATAAAAACTAATAAACATAAAGTTTATCATACCGATTAAGGTCATATTTTTTTCTCTTGACTATACTATATGAAGAATGTGAATATGGAGTTCTAACTTCATCCACAATAACCATTAGATTGAATAAAATTATAAGAACTAAGGGTGTTCGTTATTCAATTAAAGCTAAATAACCGAATTGAAATATCAATTTTGATACGATTTTTTTAAAAATAATTAAAAAAGACTAAGCCAAAATTATTTCAGGTTTTTGAGTTCAATTCGATTTTTTTTCTAAACCAAAAAATCATATATATATATATATATATATAATTCACACTCATTACTCCAATTTCCCTAAAAAAAAAAAAAAAAAATCGTCCCAAATTTGGAATCCCTAACATAAGCTTCAAGCCACCCCTCCAAGGCTCCACCAGCCATCACAGTATTACTCAGTCATCTCCGATCCTAATACGTGACCTAACTAAAACAAAGACTAGGGCTGACTAAAACAGAGACTGGAAGGAAGAAGAAGTTGAAACAGAAAAACAGACTGGGGCTCACTGAAACAAGAGACTGGAGAGAAAGAAGAAGTTGAAACAAAAAAAAACAGGAAGGAGAAATTGAAACAGAAAAATAAAGACCGGGCCAACCAAAACAGAGGAAAAAGAAGTAGGAAAAAATAAATAACACGTGCATTAATTTTTTTTCTCTCTGATTCTCTCTTGTAATTTTTAAAGTTCTTATCTTGAAAACTCTTGATAAACAATAACGCGGGTAACAATTGTTTTCAATAATTCAACTATATTTTTATTTCATTTATATCAATGTTATTCTTAATTTTCGTAAACTAGCATTTATTTATTATTATTTTTTTTTATCTATTATGTTTGATCTTGATTCTTATTTAGTTGAAATCGAACTCCATCAGATCCTCTCCTCCTCGTCAAACAACCTCATCCGTTAGCCCATCCTCCGGGTTCTTACTCCTGTAACTGCGAGCCATAAAACACGGTACAGGCACCTCCACCATCCGCCTACGACTGTTACCCTGCGAGCCACCTCGTCATCCTTCTGGTCCTTGGATTTTAATTGAGTGATGGGTTTGAGATTTTGAATGTGAGATATTTTGCCTAGAAATATGGGTTCATACTTAAAGTCAAGCACCTAGCCTACCTGTCTAAACATTTGGGCATCTGTCAATTTCATGCATAGAATCCTATTGACTTGTATGCTCGTGTTTAGTCCCATGTAAGTAACCACCGGCTATTCTTTGTCTTTTTTTGGATGAATCATGCTTTTGAGAATTTGATAGGTGAATTGCTGCGAGTGGAACAAAAGTTTACTACTAACTCCATAATTGGCGAATATTACGAGGAGTCCATTGTGAAGCAATAAAAAAATTGAGGTGAGTTGGAGCAATCAGAGGGAATTAGAGAAATTCAATGAAGATAATCCAATAATTTTGATTGATTTATTTGTTAATTAGTTGATTTTTTCCCCTTTTTGTTTCTCCACGAGGGAATGCTTGTACCAACACTATATCCATAGTATTCTTGTAGCTAGCTTCAGCCCTTCAGCCATAGATTTAAATCAATTAGGTTGGCTTCTTTGTTAAATCCGCTTCTGATGGCTAGGACAAGGTAGTCTCAGTTGGCAAACCATTGTACAACTCTTAGAACTCCATTAATGTTGGTAATCCCAAAAATATTGGGAGTCTTAAAAATTATGGCCTAATATCATGTTAACTCGTGATGCTCCCACCCCGGTTCACTTTTTATTACTTAAATAGGAGTAACTAGACGAGGCGCATCACGCCGACACGATTAATTTCTAAATTTACCTTAAAAACACATGTGTGTTTATACATTAAGGACTTACCATACAATAAAACGTGACCAAAACAATTTACATAATATTAACAAAACAAGTGAAAGAAATTACAAAATTTATTTACAATACCATTAAAATATTCATTGACACCCAACCCCAAAAATTACAAATAAATAAAATAAAATCCCCTAAGGTTTATGTCACCCCCGAGCCCTTTTGGAGGATCCGACGGCGTCCTTATTGGTACTATAGTCAACGCTACCTATCATAATATGCAAATAACAACAAGGTGAGCCGAAGCTCGGTAAATAGGATGATGCACGTGATATGCAATGAAGTTTTGTTTTTTATTCTACCTATCCATTTTTAATTCGGGTACCCTAGGTATTAGCAAGCATGTGCATTCCATCTCTCGATAATCGCATTATCACCTATTGCTCTATTACTCTCTCTTAGTGATCTCATTATCACCTATTGCTCACAACGAATTACCCTTCGTTGTAGCACACGGTTAGCGAAATCATCCTTCGCTTAACAATGTTAGTAATAAAGCACACACATAGTTTCATCGTCGTTACCCATTGCATTCGGTTCGGTTACCAAACCGTTTTATCTCATGACTCAATGATGTTTCTCGATTTCATATCACCTCCGAATGCAC